GGGGAGCGGAGGGGCCCCGGTCACAGCGCTTCTGGAAGTCGCTTCAGGTAACCACTGTTTTACCACCTATCCGAGTGACCCGGTAAGGAGTACAAGGGCAGGAATTGAGATGGTGTCATCCATGGTGCCTTCCCAGCACCTCGTACAGTGCCTGATACCTAGTCGGTTCTCAAAAATCATTGTTCACTGAGTCACTGAGAAAAGGTATAATATTAAAACACTAGATCTATTCTAGACACATTACATTCTAGACATAAAACACGATTATGATGAAACTCTGGCTCGCCGCCTTTATTTTGAGGTCAAATTGAGAACTATTCACAGCTCTGTGTCTCTTAGTCTATTTTAATTTATATGAGAAGAAAAAGGAAAGTCATATTTGCTCCAATCTTGTGAAAAAGTTCATATATTTCTTGAAAATGTTTGCTGAAGGAACACGCCTCCTCCTATGGATAAAATAGCAACTGATTTTAGTTCCTGTGGAAACTAGGCGGGGTGAGCTGGGGTGGAATTCAGAGAATTATCTCTGGTTTGTTTTTGAGTGTATTTTTTGGCAAATAGTGGACCAAAATATTTCCTCACTTTCCTTTTCTTCCCCCCCAATTAATACACTTGTTATTTGGTCTGGGCTTTTCTCTCCTTCAGGATGAGTGCAAGCTGTCTTTCTCAGCAAAGCTAACGTGTCCAGATATCTGTTCATTGCTTCTTGTCAGAGTTTCTATCACGCCCAAGGGTCACTTCACATGATACACAGGGACAAGGAGTCTGTCTCACGCAAACCTCCACTTTTATGTAATAACCAAGATCGAATTTCGTATTGAGATAAGGTTTAACCTGAAAAATATTAGTTTTTTTTTTTTTTAGACAAAATAGGGGTTTGGGTGAATCAGCAAAGTGACTGACTCCTATGTATTGAGAGCATACTTTCCCAGGAGACCCAGAAATCAACTTTTTCTTTTAAAAAAGAAAAAAGAAAAGACCTGACTCCAGATTCTAGGATTTAATAAAAGGCTGTGCAAGTCTGAAGAAAACTCCCACCCCCAGTCCTCCTGTATCAGGACCTTCCCCAGGGAGGCGGAATGTTCTAGCATCCACCAGGGAGTTGGGGCCACGCTCCCTGGAGACGTTCTTGACCCTGCTCCCTCCCTCACGCTCTTTTAAAGCTCTGCTTTTTAGGTATCAGGAAACTGCCTGCTCTCGCCTCCTCCACCGAGCCTCCCTCTCCCTCCTGAGCCTGTGGCCCCCGACGGTCTATCAGCTTCTACTCTGGTTTCCCACAGTCAACTCTCTACACAGTGACGGACCTTTTAACCATTTGTCCTAACATTTTCTCCGCTGGTCAAAACTTGAGGACCTCCCAACACATTGAGAACCCAAAGTCCTTGCCATGACCTAGAAGACCCCTATGAATTAACCCTGCATACTTCTTTCACTTGTTTTCTTTTGCATTATCCTATAGCCCTCTTGCTTCTCCTCACACCATCCTTCGCTTGTTTCTGCCTCAGGACCTTTGCACTTGCAAGTGGTTTTCACTCAGATCCTCGATTTCAACACAATTCTTCCATCCACAGCACATTACCCTCGGGTTCACACCTCTCTGCGAGACATTCCTGGAGAACCCAGGAGTGGCATGTGGCCAGACCTCAGGACCCAGGGACACCAGGGATTCCCCACCCCCCACTACTTCTCCACCCTGGTGTCACTCTTCCCCGTCCTTTGTCTTGTCGTGGGACCTTCTCTGGGCTTTCTGGTCCATGTGGAAGCAGCGCGGTGCCAACAGCCATTGATGTTTACGTCTTACCATCCCAGCAAAACCCAAGAGACTCTCTGAATCTCTGCTCAGTTCCATGTATCGCGAGGAAGACTTAGGTCCTAGTTTGGGTCAGGTGTCGCTACCCTGGATCTTCAGCTGAGGTGTGTGTGTGCGTGTGTGTGTTGTACCTTGAAATGTTACTTTGGCTTCAAGTCTGTGGGTCATGCCTCAAGTCTAGAGCTGCTCTGTCTGACGCAGTAGCCACTGCTCACGTGTGGCTGTTCATACTTAAGTGTAAATCAGTTTAAGTACAACGAAGACGTCTTCGGCCTACCAGCCATGTTGCAGGTGCTCAACAGCCACACATAGCTAGTGGCTTCAGGAGTGGGCTAGGCATCGTGGCACAAAGTTCTGCACAGTGCCATGGGTAAAGCAGCTTTTCCCCGAAGAGGCGTGGGAGGGGGGTCCGGAGGGGTGTTTCTGGGCACGCGTATCAGTCGGCATCTGCTACGTCCTCTCTGCCATACTTGATGGAACAGGCCCAGCCCCTTGGGACAGTTTCTTCCCCTGGCACCAGGCTGTTTTCATACTCTTGCAGTTGTGCCACCCTTCTTCCCCCCTCTAAGCGGCTCAACCATTCCTGTAACTTTTAGTTGTTCCATGGTGATAGCTCCCACGCTTGTATCTCACTCCTAGACCCCCTTCTGAGCTCCAGGCCCACAGACCTAACTGCCTACCTAATATCTCCGACTGAGTACATCGAAGACCGTTGGCCATTATTGTCTCATATTGAGGTCTTGATCTACCGCAATCTCTTCTTCTTCCCAGGCCCCCACCTTAATAAATGGCATCTCTATCTGCCCAGTTCGTTATGCCAGAAGCCCTAGAAAAATCCTTGGCACCCTCCTCCACCTCCTTCCCAACACCCAATCCAAATCGGCTGTGGTCAGTTCAAAATTCAAAATACTTCTCTAATCGAGTCACAGTTTTATTTTCATTTCTAACACCACAGTCTCCTTCCACTTTCCTGCCGGCTAACATTTATTCAAATTTCTGTTCCTGCTCTAATGTCTCCAGTAAATGACCATTTCTTAAGGAATCCCTTCCCTCCCCTGATGGAAGTTCTACCTTTTAATGTCATCTCACCTCATGCTTTTGCTTTTCACAAATACAAAGGATTATTTATTTAATATCTACCACCCCTTCTCTAGTTTGATAAGGGCAGAAAACGTGGCTGTCTTTATTGTTTTCCAAATCTGTTATGACTGGCACATGCCAGACACTTAACCAGCCCTCAGTTTTTACCCCATTTTGGAACACTTATTTGTGAGCTTTGTGAATTCCTCTTTTTTGGTCTTCTCTGTGGTTACGGGTGTCCTTCAGGTTCTGTTATTTATCTTCTTTCTCGTGGGTTCGGCTTTGCTCTTCTAAGGATGACTCCCAGTCATTGTCACAAGCCCTGGCTCTTGAGACAATTGTGATCTCTTCTCTCAAAATTAGCCTCTTCTTCCTGCCTCCCTGGCATTCTGTGGACAATACTCTCAGAAGTCCCGCTCACAGGACTTCTTCCTCTAGCACACGCCCTGAGCCTGCACTGCTCTCCTCGACTGAGTCATTAAGACCCCTCTGAATCCTCCTGTTAACTTTCCTTGCCGTCCCAGGCCACCTTCTAGAACTTGCAGTGCAGAACCCACACGACCACAGGGGGCCTACACTCCTCCTGTCTCCGATGTCTCATCCGGAGAACTCTGAGGAGCTTTATAATTCACATTCCTACCCCCATCCTTCCCGCAGGTTGCCTTTCCCCAAATGCAGAAATGTCCTGTTGGAAAGGCTCCATCTTACCCTTCTGATTTTGTGAATGAGGAAACAGGTCCAGAAAGTGGTCGGCTGGTCACTGTACCCAAGACCTTTTAATGTTCTCTCTGACGCACTGTGACGCTTGCAGCCCCACACTATGCTTAAACGCCCCCACGGCTTCCTCTCCTCCATGTAGAGAACAAGACTTTGTGTAACCAGCTGCTTTTCTGCCTTTTCAAACTTACCACCAATTGTGATTCCTTCCAGCCACGTTACTTTTCATTCTTTGGAAGGCCCACGTGTCCCTCATGCATTTTTGCTGGGAGATCTTGGTTCTTCTTGTTTACCCCCCCCTAGAATATCTATCTCTACTCTTATCCTCTGTTGCAGACCTTGTATTTTGACCCCAAAGCAATCCTGATACACAGTGTGTTTTTATACATCTTCTTGTTCAATGGACTAATGAAACATTTAAGTTAGTCAGTTTTCCCCATATTGATGGTGACTAGGTATCCTTTGATAGAAGTCAATAAATATCCACCACCATATTCTGAAGTTTGTACCAAAATGGACAATAATGGCAAACATTCATTTGGTGCGTTCAACTCACAAAAACCAGTGATTTCTTAACAGTTGGCATTCTAAGCCTATGAAGTGGTCCCTTGGGCAACCGTGTGCTTTCCTGGTCTCCTTGAATGGCCCCCACCTCCTGTGCCTACCCAGAGCAGACACTGATCCTGATGCTCTCCGACCCAAAGACTAGTGGGTAGAGACTGGTGAGAAAGAAAAGGAATGTGGGGGTCACAGGGAGAAGAGAAAGGCCAGAAGATGCCAGAAGAGAATGAATTTGTAATATGACCTCAGCCAGAGAGGTGGAGGTTAGAGAACATGACCCAGAATATGTTCTTGAAAGAGACTCTATATTATAGGAATTATGTAAAATATAAATGGAATCCAAGAGTAATCTTAACGTTTGGTTCCTGGCCACTAAACCTGGCAGCCTGTATCCAACAGTTTAAAATAATTAAGAAGTCAAATGGTTTTATTGGAAAATGAAGATTTCTTGGCCCATAACATGCTACATGAAGTACGGCCCCGCTCTCTTCTGATGAGGTCTGCTAAAGAATTTTTACAGATCTCTATATAAATGAACTTTATTTTAAAAAGATACAAGTTAACTTGCAAATTCGGGACTGTAACCTGAAGGGCAAGCATGAAGTCTTAAATGAGGCGCTTAGTGACTCATCCATTCCCATCGGTGATGTCGCCCCCCCCGACACTCAGGAGACACCCCCTCCCATCCCAGGGCAGCAGGTCTTTAACTTGATCTTTCAAAACAACACAATTTAAGCGGATGTCAATAAAAACCAGTGAATTATAAATATTCTCTCTTCCAGCATATTTGATCAGAGCTGTCAATAAACAGAACTGTACTTCCTGGGATTTCAGGCATGAATACCAATCTATGAATTTTAATTTAATATTCTACCAGAGGACCCCGGGAGGATATGAACAATTTGGACATCCGTAAAGTTATTCTTAGGGTAAAACTGGACACATGTATACTTCAAGAAATAACATAAGATGATTAAGGTATCTGCATTAAGATACTGTGTATATATACACACACACACAGAAATACAGATATATATATATATATTCAGATAACTGTATACATATATATATTCAGATAACTGTATACATATATTATATATTCAGATAACTGTATACATATATTATATATTCAGATAACTTGGATTTTTATATAAAAATCATGAAAATCCAAGTTATCCGAATTAACAACCATGCACAGAATTATTTGATTCCTTCCTGTCCCTTACCCACACTTTGACTCACACGTTAGCTGGTATTTCCGATGGTAAAATTGATTCTTGGCACAGAATACGTGTCTCTACTCCCTTTCCCTGAACAACCGGAAACTGCTCATTCCACGAAGTGGCCGAGTTTCAGCCAACACCGAGCAGCTCCTGTCCAGCCGCAGGTAGGACAATGATGAAGACCAAACTGCAAGCAAAAGCTCAAATCCTTGCAGTGAGCAGAGCTCTCTTTACACTCTGCGTCCCCTGATCGTACATCAAAGTCCATAGGCTCACAGCCCCTCACTGGCCTCCCTGAGCTGGGAGCCCTCCCCCTCCGGCTGGGGGGCCCATCTAGAAAGACTTCCAGGGCAGACAAAAGGGAAATGAGTCGGGATGGTACTGATGTCAGGCCCCGAAGGAAGAGACAGCCTGTGAACTCTCCTCGATGAGGAATGTCAGAGGCGACTATATTTTATTAAAAGGCCCGCAGGCAAACAGTCAAAGAGGCACAAACAGCAACAACAAGACGGCGAGACCTCAAGTCCCGCCTGGCTGCCCAGCTCCGGGACACAGACTGAGCCAAAGCCTGCTGCTAGGGGACAAGGTTCGCGCAGGCCCTACTTCCTCAAAGCAAGCCCGCAGCTGTCACCCCATCCTGTCACCCCAAATAGCTGCACGCATTGGTGAAAGTGAGGTCGTAACGCTGTATACCTTTTAAAACTGCAATTGGGAACTAAATAATGGAGTAGTTTTGTTCAAAAGCAATATATATTTTTCATGAAGATAAGAGCCGTATTACATTTGCTATAGAAAAATGCTGCGAGAGGAAAAAGCCGCGTGTTACCGACATGACAAAAAACATAACAAATTCCACTTATGAAAGTGTTCTGCCCTATGAGAACATATTGAATGAAAGGCATTATTCCAGGTGAGTGAGCCACGCAGAAATGCGGATTGATTAGGGTTTGTTTTGAAATGTAATTTGTACGGCGAGCTTTTTTATTCCTTTGATGGCAATGAAACAGATTTATTGGCTACATGTTGCAAGTGCAATAGATAACAGATAACCAAGGGAGACGTTTTAATAAAACCCTCAGGAAAGAAGAAAGAAAAGTGAGTGAATGTGCCCGCTTACATTTCAGCTAATAAATAAAAAGTACAGTTAGGGCTTTAACTGAAAACCATCCCCGTTATTGCAGCCTGGAAGGTTTACTGAAAATTGGGGTAGAACACTCTAATTTTTCATACTTACAGCTACGACATGAGCTGCACCAAGCCAGAGTGAGGTGACACACATTTTGATTTGGGCGCCCACGCCGTCTTCACGGTAAACTTGCACGCGCTCGTGAAGGGGACAAGCAGGTCCCTGCCAGTGAGGGCGTCTGCTTCGGCTCTTTCTGACTGTGCTCTGGGATTCTGGACAACTGAACACGTCCTGTCCAGGACGTGCAGTAAGAACCACTCACTCCCTGCAGTAAGAACACTGGGCGCTTCTAGGGAAGTTTCCCATCTTCAATAAGCAATGGCCTTTCATCTCAAAGAGCTGAGAGGAAGGGAGGATACCATGAAGGACGGTGCAGAACGTGGCCCATGCTTTGAAGTCCAAGTGTATTTAGACCCCTCACCTGAGCCCCAGGGCTTACCCAGCCCGCATCACACACCCCTCACTCAAACTGGTTCTAGTCACTAGGGCCCTAGACTCATGCAAGAAATCGTCTCTCCTTTTTTTGTTTCAAGGCAGCAGGAAAACTGGAACTCTCTCTGAGTAGCCCTGGAGCTATCTGGGTTTCAGTGGTGCTCTCTCCCAAGAGCCTTGCTTCGGAGAATGACGAATCACCTCCTCCTCCGGGAGCGTCTCCTTTCCAAAAGACACTGAGGAGCCAGGGAGGGAAAATGACCCTAAATACCAAGAATGACTGCCGATGCAAACTCAAGGTTTCTAGTGGTGGAGAGAGGCCAAATTTGTGTTCCTGTAACTTGCAGGACAGCTTCTTAGAACAAGCTCCACAGATCTGGAGAGAACCACAGACCCCAGATCTGATTTCACTTAGTTCAGAAACAGGAATTCAGAATGGTGAGTGAGGGTACAATTAGGAATGTACATCAATAACATCGGGTGGTTTTAATACACAAAAGCTTTTAGTCTAAAAATCACGATTCTTGCCAAATTTAAATGCCATTGTAAATCCACGTTTGTATAGCAAAGAGACAGGAACACATAAGCAAGAGACATAAAATGAACTGGCATAGTTTGGAGAGTTTTGGACCCATTATTAAATACGGATCCAATCAAATATTCCATCCGATTTCCAGTTCTGTTAATATTTCTGCATTCACTGTTCTTACTTTCAACTACCCAAATCTTTCAACCAACACTATTTTGAAAGGCTCATACAGAGTCCCCATGCCATTTTCTAAAAGGAGTTACTTCTGTGGAGGAGTTTCAGAATAAAACAATTAAAAATTCTGCTACAGTTAATAAATTGTCTCTGGGAGGATTATAATAATAAACCTTCTGAGAAATTTTTTTGAGACAGGTGTTACGTGAATTTGCATGCCTCAGCAAGATGCATAAAAAGAAGACTTAATGACTTAATTTCTAAAGCATCTATATTATTATGGCATGCTTCTGGAGATAGGTAATTATTGTCTACATAGGTAAGCATATAGTGTGTCCCATGGGAAAAATCATCTGTGCTTTTCCCAGAAGCCATAGTTTTCCTTTTTTTTTATAATTAAGATGTTTATATAAGAAAAGCTAATTTATTGGTTTTTTAATATACAATGGGTTTTCTTTAAAAGAGCAAGATCCAAGGTTGTTTTGTGATTCGAATTTAAAAATAAACAAAATAATCTTCTGAATCTTCCAAGGCCATGTTTCATGTATTTAATATGTCCCTGAATTAGTCAAAAGATTTTAAGGGTCTAAATAACTCTACCATATGTCAGCTCTGGTTGTATACACTGAATAAACCATTTGATGTATTTACACATAGACATGGAGAATATATACATATGTATGTATACGTATATATTCTCCGACACTATTATTAAATGCAATCCTATATTCTGGGATACAGAAGTTGATGATATACCTTTCTACTTGCCATGGCTAACAAAGCTAGGTTGAAACTCAGCAACCACTTGTATTCATTGCTTTGCAGGCTAGTAGTTAAGTTCGGTTGCTGGTGGGAAAAGGGTCTCTTACCACACCCTCCGTAAACTAAAGATTCATTCATGCTCAGTGTCAGTATGTGCACACTCTTTTATCGAGGTGGTCGTGAGCTGCAGATGCAGTCACAGCGCTCATGGTGATCCAACTGGATGTCAACGAGAGCCATGTGCTTCGCTCTGCCCCTCCTCTTGAAATGGCCAGGTTCAAACTTTAATACCTAGGACAAGAAGATATTTCCTGTTAGAAAGCCCTGAGAGTTTAGCACAACTAGATACCCCTTATGCTTTTTATGACAACTGGTCCCCAACCTTTTGAGAAGCCAATGGAAACTCTGGGCTTGTGATTATGATGCACTCCTGAAAATGTTTTTACAATCATCAACTTCCCGACGTGGGTAGAGTGGTCTGCTGACCACAGAGTAACGCCTCCTATGTTACCAGCCTGCAGTACCAAGATGAGCTCAGGGGTCCTGGCAGGCACTTATCGATAGCTTTCAAAGGGCCTGTTTTGGTGCCGAGTGTTGCCCCAAATACTGTCATAAAGATTCTTCTGAACAGAGCATATGTTATGGATAAATACAATACCGAGCATTGATTACTCCTTAGAACAATGAATAAAGGCATGAACGTAATAGGCTGCTGTGGCTAAATGTTTGGTTAATGTAAAATATTTTTGCCATGAAGAAGGTGATTACTGGCCATAATTAGGTGAAAATGTGTTTATGTTCTTATACATTTGTTAATACACAATACCTTTTACAATTCAAAACAGACCAGCTCCACTAAAATCTTCTACATTGATCTGTGTATCAGTACAGCATTTCTTCATAAAGCATATCCTTAATTTTTTGAATTAATGAGTTGATTATAATGACATGGATGGAGCTAGAGACTATCATGCTAAGGGAACTAAGTTAGAGAAAAATAGATACCATATGATTTCACTCATATGTGGAATTTAAGAAACAAAACAGATGAGCAAAGGGGAAAGAAAGAGAGAAAGAGACAAGCCAAGAAACAGACTCTGAACTACAGAGAACGCACTGATGGTGACCAGAGGGGAGGTGGGTGGGGGATGGGGGAAACAGGTGCTGGGGATGAAGGAGCGCACCTGTCCTGATGAGCACCGGGTGATGGATGGCAGTGCTGAATCACTGTATTGTACACCGGAAACTAATATTACACTGTATGTTAAAACACTGGAATTTAAATAAAAACTTACAAAAAATCTAAGTTGAAACATAATTTTAGTAAGTTTACATGGAAGCTAACTTCTTCCCTGCCATGGCCTTTGCTGAAATCAAACATTACTCATCTCAGACACAATTACTTGGGAAATCATATATGTGCTCTCACAGATACTCTCTGGTTGGTTTAATTGCTTCTCTTCTGTACGTTCTTAGGTTCCTGTTAGTCTTTACTTTTGACTTTTTTTCTATTTTCCTTTCAGACTCTAAACTGCAGCAGGTGCTACCATATGATGATGTTGTATTCTATCCTTTTCAAAGGATTTGCACAGACACATTATTTCTTTTGCCCTGCAACAAACCTTGTCACCTAGTAGAGGATGTTCCTCATCCACATTTTATATATGGGAGCACTGAGACCCTCAAGGAGGCCGTGTGCCTTGTGCGGGGTCTTCTGGCCACTTGGACTTGCACACAGAGCTCTGTCTGATAGGGGCCCAGCACGCTGGGATCAACGCCTCTTCGATGTGCCTATGATTTCCTTTTGTGTCTCCAAAGGCCATCGGGCTCCACATGGGAACTGGAATGGGGACTGAGATGCTTTGGCTGGCATACTCTGGTCTGTGGCAAAATCTTGCTTTAGAGTCTGCAAGACTTTTCCTGGCATTCTTCCGACTCTTGACTATGAATTCTCTTCCCAGCAATTTGCTCCTCCTCACATCATTACCTGCCTCGAGTCACAAATAGACGGAAACCGTCGACCAGGAAAGGCAGGTTCAGGGCCCTCAGCACTTTGTACTCCTTCGTGTAGCCAGGCTGGGCCGTGGGGGCCCCAGTGAGCACCTCATTTGTTCCATGTTCAATCAGGCTACGGGGTCTGGTCTCCGCTAACGCGGAGTGCGACATGGATTCCCACGAGTAGCAGAGCTTCAAAAGAACGTTTATGAGCACACAGTGGGGGCGGAAAGGGGCGCCCTACGCGGGTTCATGCCAGAGGCACAAAGACTCAGCGGTATCTGCTGTCGGTAAACTCGTCCAAATGGCAGTTCTGAGGGCTAATTCTGTTGTTCCCTTTTTCTCCTGCAACCCGCCTGCTACTCCAACAACATGTATCACACAACTTCACCCGATTTATTTTGTATTCTCTCTATTCATTGGATTATAAGCGCTTCGAGGGCAAGGACAGCAGAAACTACTACTACTATTATTGAGTATTTACTAGAAGCCACACACTGTTGAAAGTGACTTTGCAAATACTATTTGGGCTTCCCTGCAACACTATGAGGTACTTTTCTAATTTTCATACGTAAGAAGAGAGATTAAGCTACGTGCCAAAATTACAGAGTCGGCACTGAATTTGACCCCATGTGGATAAGCTCACCTACGAAATGGGAACTATGTTTGTACAGCTCAGTAGCATGTTGTGAACATAGCAGCTGGTGAAGAAGCACCCCCCGGGTGGGTGGTGGCGCCAGCGGAGAAGTGAACGCTCCCGTTCTCTCCTTTTCACCTCCTCCCTGCACCTCCAACAAACACGGGACAGACACACAAGCCAGGAAGTAAAGCAGAGGCCAAAATAAGTGCCCCACATGTGGGGCCACTTTTAACACTTTCACAATTTGGGAAGAAGATTTAAAGTACTAAGAGCAGAATTACAATGGCATCTGCCTTCCTTGTGTGGCTCCCGTGTTCTCTCTTGCAGCAAACTATAGGGGAAAAAAGATGTGGCTTCTTCATGAAAAAAATAAGTAAAAAACCAAAAACAAAAACTACTCCCCCCCAAAAAAAACCACCCAACAACAAGGGTTGAAGAATGTCTGACATTTTGGGGTACTGAATAGCGCCGCCCATGATGGATCAGCAAGTCCAGCTGGGCTATATTTGGTCAGAGTGCCCTAGAGGTTTGAGTCCTACAGCTTCTCCGAGAATTTCTCCAACATGCATTAGTCACTGTTGTCCAAGATTCTATGTAAACCGGATTTGGGGGGTCTGCAGATGCAGGGGAGGGAAATGACTCCTAAGACAATGAGCATATGATAAGCATAAGGCTGCTATGAAAGCCTAATGAGTGGTGATGACCGGCCCCTGGACACTCAGGGCTCTGGCGATTTGCTTTCTCATTTGACGGCAAACAAAAGAGTGTGCAGTGGGATGAGCGCAGAGCCCCAGCAGTTTTTCTAACTGGTCTCCTGATTGTTCAGGGATTTTCCCTGTGTTTTATATTAAGCAACGTGAGCACAGTATAGATGTGTTTTGCTGATAAGAAGAGAAAAATGAATTGGCAGACACTTTCCCAGACAAGACCGGAAAGCACTGTTCGAACAAAGTGGAAATTGCGCTGTTTTCCTGGCTGATCACAGCACTGATGTTCAAAGCTTTCAGACCATGTAATAGTCTTAGGTTCAGGTACACAGCACTGAAAGGAGGAAGAAAGCAAAGCCGACTTAAGAGAGCACGGAAAGTTAAAAGAGAAATGAAAAGCCTTTATCTGGGCAGGCAAACTGGCTGGTTATAGGTTATCTGGTCACTTTCAAAGGGAAGGAATTAATTACAGCCGCCGAAGGACACTTACTAATAGGACCATCCCAAAATGCTTTCCTATTTTCCCAGCTAGGGTTCACAGCTGTGAGCACACCCTGAAGTAAAATCCACCGACGAGCAGCCAGCCATTTCTTCTTACCTGTGGATGGAGATGGAAATCCTGAACCCTCTCCACCACCTGGAAAACCACATGAAGCCAGGCAAAGTTGACTTTTACTAATTGGACATCGACTAAGCCGGCTGGAGGCTTTCACAACACTACACAAAGTCACAGATGCTCGGTCTGCAAATTACCACACCACGGAAGATATTTCACCTCGGTTACTCGCCTCGTTGCCAATAAACCAATGAGTGAATCATTGCCATAAAGCTATTACACTAATAAAACAATACCAGGCAGAAAAGCTATCTGCTGAGTTGGGTTCTTCTTTATTGGGAATGTAAAGAAAATGGTTGTTAAGGCCTTGTAATAGTTCTCAGATTAATGGCTGACGCAGGAACAAAAACACGTATTTCAGGACAAATGCATGGTATAAGCTGGAATCATTAAGAGTTTAAGATTCTCCTCAACTTCTAAAGCAGGTGGTATTCCAGATACATAGTTTCTGATCTTAAAAAAAATAAAAAAGCCTCCTAGTTTTGCCTCCATTTTGAACTTTTCCATGCTTCTAGGCTTTATGAAAAATGTGCAGACAGTTTAGATTATTAAGAGCTGCTAGTCCATTTCTCTGAAACCTAGGTGATTACAAGCAAAAACATCTTGAGAAGGGATAACACATTATTTTCTGCCTGGGTAATTACCGAACTTGTAGCACCCCCAGCAGACGTGGAACATCCTAGTGGAAGGGCTGACTGCACGTCATAAGATAGGGTACTCGGAAAGAAAGACCCCGATGACACAGTTTCACAACGCTTCCCTGGACAATGAAGGCTGTACGGGACCAAAGGCTGGGATTAGAGTCAGGGTCCGTAAAACGCTCGCGAGTACTGAAAATGCAGTCTTAATCTCTGGAGACATTACGTTTTCTGGGAGCACTCTGGGGTTACCGCAGGGTGCACCCAGCTGCAGTCCAACCTTTAAAGAACGAGGCAGCTCCATAATTTCGGCAGCACCACACAGGGCTCCTGACTACCCACTGCAGAAAACGTAACGGAAGGCTAACCAGGCACCAACTACGGAGCATGGGATTAGCATGGAGGACCATTCATATCACAAATGGTCTTGTCTACCTGAGAGGGAGCACACCCCAAGGCAGGTTTGCGAAGCGATGGCAGGAAGCTAGGTCTAGAAGGGAAGGAATGCACACATTTGTTCATACTTAAATGCAGGGTCCATTCACTTGGGGAGTCATCGAGGCTGCAGGGAAGCCAGACCTCTCCGAAAACTCCACCCACATGTGTTCTGGGCTTTCCAGTCTTCAGCCTTTGTCCAGTGTCCCCGTGAGCTGAGCGTCAGTGTTGTCACTGCTGCGTGAGTGAACTTTTCCATCAACATGAACTGTTCCCATCCTATCTTTAGTCCTTTACATTGACTTAGCACTTCCATCACCGGTTTGCTCTCATTCCTCACGTAATGTCAGTAAGGTAGGATTTGGGGGGTAGGATAGTGTAACAGCGGATGGACGCCATGTAACTTCAGGTCTGCCTGGGAACCCCAAACTGTGGGTTGTCGTGGGGATGAAGTGTGCAAAGCTGGAGCCGGAGGCTTCCAGTCAGGCCACGTTTTGCTCTATTGCCCCGTCTGTCGTCGGAAACACAGGAAAAGCCCACGGGAGAGCGGTCTCCCGGTCTCACCCAAAGAGAGAGAGAGAGGAGGAAAGCCGGGAGACGCTACACTAGCTCTAGAAATGCTACTTCCAGAAAAAGAGAAGAAATTTTCTTGACTTTGGTTATGGTTGGTTATAATCATAACCCCACATCTCACTGCTTTTGCCACAGAGGAGAAACTCTTTGGAAACAGTTTTTTTTCTGTCTCCTTGATCTCAATTTCCAGTTTTAGCTAAATTTGTTTCTATGGCAGATGCTTAAAACATGTAAAAACTAAAAGTACCATTCTTTTATCTCAAGTCTGAAGCTCAACAGTTTAAAACCTCTAATTAATCTTTTTGTTCATATACAAACATCTGCTTACATTTCCTAACACTTGAGCTGTAATAGGAAGCAAATTTTTAATATAAAATTCTAGAGTGAAATAAAAATAATCCTCTGAAGTCATTATATTTTTTTCCATTTTGTCCAGAGACAGGAATGGTTGTGCCAGAAACAGAGATGGCTCTGGGCTGTGCCCTTCAATATGGCAGCCACCAGCCGTGTGTAGCTATTTACGTTTACATTAGTTAAAATCATAGAAAATTCAAAGTCCGGTCTCCCGTTTGCGTTCCGCACACGTCAAGTGCCCCCTAGCCACACGTTGCTGCAGACTACTGTCCCGGGACTGCAGAAAGTTCTCCTAGACAGGGCAGCTGGTTATAGCAGCATCATGCCACAGTCACGAGAGGAAGGACAGAAAAATTAACTCTGATCTTTCTCTCTCTGCTGCTTCGTGAGTTTTTGGCTCTTGCCCGAACGTCCGTAGACAGGGGACCAGATGATGAAAAACAGTTAAGTATTAATTTAAAAGGTCACCGTATTTCTAGGGAAGATCCTATTCCTTCATGGAGCATCATCAAGGCAGGAAGGGAACTGAAATAACAGCATCCTCTAAGTGTCTACACAGTATGTTTTCTGGAACCTTCCTTTTTGAAAAATCCCTACCCCAAAGTATCTTTTGTATCCTATACATATTCCAGGAGGCATCAAAGAACTGTTATGAGCAAACAGGAAAAATACCTTAACAGGGTACCCACAAACTTCTGGAAAACAGAAAATCATAAAGGAAGTAACACTGTATCGCACGGTGAAAAAACGCTCAACCCCCTACTGGAGAAACAGCATGACCCGTGCAAAGAACAATTATCTAAGCTTCATTAGGAGCTTTATAATTTTTCAGATTTATGCCTTAAACGCTGAGTTCCAGTTACCCCCTTAAGGGTGCTCATGGCCCATGGAAACTCATTTCACATCTCATCAGTTACAACTAGAAGCTGGGGAAACTGGTTTCTCGTGTCTCTGGGGTAAGAACACAGACAGAGAACAGAACAAAGAATGAGGATTTTTCCCTAATGAGCCTGGCTCAAGCAACCCCCTTTGCTGGAAACGGAACAAGCCTTCTACTCTTTTCCACGGGGCACTCAACAGAGTGATCACTGGGACATGCTGCAAGGTATTTTAGGAGTTGCGGGGCAATGGGCCAGGCATGTTCGTCCCAGCTATGCAGCGGCTGAACCTTTGTCCAGCGCTTGGCAGAGTGATTTCGTGTAGAGCTCTGCAGACCCCAGAAGTAGAAATACCGTGATACAATGTTTCAAAGAGCTGCTTCAGAGAGCAGCTTCAGAAAGATGCTGACATCTCAGACCTGCTCCTGTGATGAGCAGAGATCAAGGACTTCCCTTTCTAGATACTAATTGTGAACAGAAACGTACAGCTAACAGCTCTGGTGTGCAGAGACAAGAAAAGACGCAAAAGAAGGACCCTTCAAAGCCCTTTGGCATTAACTGTCTGGGAGACGAGGGTTTTTTTTTAAGGGGTGGGGTGTATGTTTAACTCTGCCATTTCCGCAATAAACAATTTAAAAAATGAAGCTGTAACTTTTATCTGAGCAGAGTCCAGAGGAAAATAAAGCACTCTACAGATAGATCAAAGGCCCGCACTTGAATGTCTTTGCTCAGTGTTCTGCCTAGGTAGAGATCTTGTCACTGGCTAGATTATTTTAACTCTAGCTTGATGATTGCATTCTGCACTGATCCTCAGAGCATGACTAAACATTGCAAAATGCAGGTTCTTAGATGCAAAGGACAACATCCAATCTAGAGTTCATCAGGTCATACAAAAATAAAACACAATGAACATAGACTATAGCATTCTCTGGATATGAGAACATTTTTTTCCCCTGGAAAATTGCAGGGTGGAGTAAGGAATTCTTATGACTAAGAAAGTAAGCTTTGTGTAGGTCTAAAATAATCTGTTTCCCCCGTGTAAGGTAAGCATGGTCACTGTGGCATTTGACTTCCTACACTTCCCAAGTTGAAAATACTAGTTATGACCTACCCATTCTCTTTTAGCTACAAAGTCATCTCCTTAAACTTGTTCATATTGTTTTATTGTTTTTTAGGATTAAAAGAAAAAAAAAACCACCACCCAGTTTTACAAAGCTAAAGGCTTTATTTAGGGAGCACGCTCTATTCTTTGTTTTGGGTACAGAGGAAAAACAACTCAATCATTTCTAATGATAATGTTTCACATCTTAGAAAATGCATTCCATATGCACTATTTTATTCGATCTCCAGAACCACTTTTTAAGTGATTATCTGATATAATTTCTTAGTCCCATTTCACATATGTGAAAATCGAGTCTCCAAATTTTGTGACTTGCAAATGCTCCCACGATTGGCAAGTAACAGCTGCTGCCGAGGTCAGGAGCAGCCCTGACTCCCCTTAAATCTACTCTTTCTTTAATGCTCAATAAAGTGCTATGTGTTTACAAAGGAAAAAGCACAGTGTTTACTAGTGATAAGAACAGACTCTGGAACACAGAGTTCTGCTCTCTGCAGAAACCTGCTCTCCTTAAACTTTTGTTCCTCTTTGATCCTCATATTTACTTTTGTTTATTTTTGCATACTTTCACGGCTGATTCCCCGGGTAGCACTCAGCAGTATTTGGGAAAAATTGGTATTTTTAGAAGAAAAAGAATATCATATTTAGCGAATTAAAAAGTCTCAACTATAAATATTTTCTGTCAATTTACATTTTGCTGTCTTCACTCTGCTTAATTTCTTAAGGACTTGATTGAATTCAAGTTTGGCCCTTAGAATTTTCCTAAAGCAACCTAGATTTTGTAGTGATAGTCTTTATTATTCCATCATATTACTACAAAGAAGGCATGTGAGCTCTGAATCACTGGGTCATGCATTTGATTATATAATCTAACAAGGATGTTGTCCCAGAGGTTGTATTATGAAGATTAGGAAAAAGAGTCCAGAGCACCTGGCTGGCTCCGTTGGTTAAGTGTCTGCCTCGGCTCAGGTCATGATCCTGGGGTCCTGGGATCGAGCCCCACATCGGGAACCCCGCTCAATGGGGAGTCTGCTTCTCCCTCTCCCTCTGACCCCCCCCACCACTCGTGCTCTCGTTCTTTCTCTCTCAAGTGAATAAATAAATATTTAAAAAAAAAAGGACAGAAAAAAAGAGTGCATCCTTCAGGAAGGAGTTAACCTCTCTGGGGCATTTGGCTTGGCAATTTTAGCTCATGTATAATTTCGGCTCCCACGCATCCCTCTGGCTGGGTGCCTTTGTGCAGTGAACAACCTGAACAACTGTATGCGATGGTCCATTCGTCCAGCACCCTGCAGGTTACATAACATGGTGTTGCAGCACGGACGTGTGAGAAGGACATACCTCATGATACTTTTTCACAGTTTTCCCGGAACTGCACGTGCAGGATTTCCAGCTGATGGTCCCACAGCCACAGTTGCCCCCACAACGCTGCACAAGGAGGCACCGGGGAAAGAAGACCACGTGCGTCAGCTTCAGCTCCTCTCTTAAGTTGACAGAGTAATTCCTGGGAGTGCAACTGTAGCGCTTGACGTCCTCATTGAGCCTGTCCAGGTCGACTGTAAGAAAGACAGAGGCGTGAGCGAGCACACGACCCTGAGCAAAAGCCCCGGCAGGTGTTTTTGGGAAGGGGTGGGAAGATGTTGTGAGGTGACCTTAACGCAGGGACCGAATCTGTCCTTGGGGTTCCAGTTAGGAACCTAACATGGAAGGTGGAAAATCTGATTCTCTTTTGATCCCATCTGCTCTTCCAAAATAATAATAATATTAATAATAAATAAAATAATCAACAACAAAGGAAAAACAAAAAAAACTCTCAAAAACTTGGCTAAATCTTTATCTTGGTTCAGATTTCCTTATACCTTTTTCTAATATACAAAAAGAATTCTGAGGAAAGGAAATGAAATGTCCAGCAATGTAAAATAACTGCCTTTATCTTAAAAAAAAAGAAGCCAACAAAATAAATCGGCTCTTGATTCTAAATAAAACCTGAATTCCAAACCATTATTTAAATATAATTTGAATTCTATCAGGGATGCATTAGGGACAACTACTTTATTATGTTTAGCTGGTGATGAAATTTTACAGGGATGTGTGAAGAAGAAGAAGGTTTTAGTTTCATTTTAACTCCAAGGTCAATCAAAACGTCCAAGACAACGGCATTTGGGGGCTGTGCAGATGATGTGTGTTTGTGCACCGGGTCCTGGATGGTGGCAGAGCCCAGTGGGTACAGCCTGGGCTCCGAAGCCAAGCCACAGCTGCCTCCCTCCCGGGAGCTGGAAAGTTACCCAGCTGCTTCCAATCTCTGCTTCTTCATCTTTACCTATTTCACAGAAATATTTGAAGGATTGAATCTAGTGTGCCTGGCACTCAGTCAAAGCCAATTATGATTATTCGTCTGGCTTCATTTTGATTTTTCCTTCCATGTTTCCTTTTAAAGTCAAATGGTCAAAAATAAAACAATTCAGGCCTTTCTCCTCTATTTCTCTCTGTTGGCCATGCCTCTGGGTCAGTGATTGTCAAGGGGGTATGGTTACTGGGACTTCTGTGAATTAAGAGCAGCACCCTCCATTTCCAAATTCGAGTCACAGATATTTACTTGGATTAAATTTATATTATCGTATTTACATAGGTTACGTTCAACATTCTCAAAAAGGCACCTAATCCTCCATGTACTTGGCATGCAAGCCTTCTGACCACGCTCTGGAGTGCCTCCCTCGTCACCTGCCAGGCGGGCACAGGGGAAATCCCACAAAGGCTGGGCAGACAGTAGCAGGCTTACCCTGGACTCCAGCCCCTGCAAGAGTCTTGGTCTTAAACCCAAACTGCGTGAGCAGCAGTGAGAGTGATCTTTTGGGGTAGAAGCCAGAGGCTAAGGATGTTGTCGGGAGAACGCCCGTGAGGGAAACCAAAAGCAAAGAAGGTGCAGGTTGATGAAGAGTCCCCTTGACACCATGAAGTCAGCGGAAAGTCTGGCCATATGGCCGGGTGACCCCTTGAATAAGGAATTAATGGCAGTTGGATCGATGCCCTGCCCTGAGAGCCTTTCCGTATGTGCGACTAGGCTTTGATTCTCAAGGGCAGGGAATTTTTACCCCCACTGCTACATGCTGAGCCTGCGGCACTGGGAGTGGGGGGCAAGGGGAGGGGGTGCTGAATAAATGCTGAATAATTTCTGTGCATCATTTATTGCTGTTTTTTCCTTCCTTTGTAAAGACATGTCCTAAATTTAGCTATAATCAATGCAGATTTAAATTGAATGAACTGTGTCTCGGGAAAGGAAGCATTTTATTGCTGCTAAAGCCCTGAAAATAACTGCAAGCAAAGCAGGAAGGATTACATAAATGGATTACGAAGTGCAGCCGTCATCCATTGCATGTGTCACCTTGAGATACATAGTGACACCAGCCTGTGCACTGCCGTGCTGTGGACAGGGCTGGTGCAGGCGGCTGGATCTGCCGTGGGGGCGGTGGGGGTCTATCTGGTCTAAGGCTGAGGAGTCAAGAGGTGCTGTTACCAAGGAGACGTGGAGGGTGCGGGGAGGCAGAGGGGGCAGGCGGGAAGGCGCCGTGCCATGGGTCTCTAGGTCAGCCTCCTGCTCGGCACCTTCTACTTGTCACCGCACCTCACGGCCCCCCCCCCCGCCCTTTTAAGGTGAACGGTTAAGTGGGGAACTGGGATTTGAAGCTCTTCCCCCTTCTGCTCCAGTTTCTGGCACATCTAGGAGAACGGGGGCAGGCCAGGTCCCCAAGAGCCGGAGGAAGAAGACGGAGCTCCCTGATGCTGTAGTGGGTCTGGGGCGGCGCAGCCTTCTCTCAGGGATACCCCCGAGCCCTGCGACAGCACGCCTCTCCTCCGGGGATGTAGCCAAACCCCAAGGTGCCCTCAGCAACCCAGGAAAAGGCACATCCTCCTTACTCGTCTGGAAGCAGGACTCTTCCCGCTGGGTAACCGTTTTACTGACCAGCACGGGTCCACCCCGTTCCCCGCCCGCCGCAACCAGATGTACGACACGGGTCCGTTGCGGGCATCCATTCACCGACGGGGCCAGTTCAACCGTGGCCCAGGGTGACTGTCGTAGCCTCCAGCTGTGCCCTGCGTCTCGGGGCATCGAAAGCACCAAGGCACTCAAAGGAGACGGATGAGGCCGCCCCCAGAGCAGGACGCCGGACAGGAGGCTGAGTGGCCAGCAGAGCTTCGGGAGCCTCCCCGGGCAGGGGCTCTGCCCGAGCCTCTGGAGGGGGAGCCTGGGAGAGGGCCGTGCTTTTAGAGGAACGGGACAGGGCAGCAAAGATGTCCCAAACTTAATTCAAAGTCCTGTGAATTTTATCTATTTCCCCTTATTTCACTCCGGGTGTATGTAATGTTCTAATCCCTCCCTTGCTGTCCTTTTGAATTTGAGTCTTGTCTTTTCATGGGTCTCCGACATCCGTTTTCTGGGCTGGGCACCGACAATCTGTTGGAAGGGCTGAGAAGTGGCCCCCGTCCTCAGAGCATCCCCAGGACAGGTTAGTCCAAGGCAGGGCACTGTGCAGTACAGCGGGCGCACCCCTCTTCCTGCGGCCCTGGCCTCAAAGCCCAGGTCATTTGCAGAAGATCCTTGTGCTGTGACGAGTTCTGGGGTCTGAGCACTGGGTGGGGCCGTGTCAAGCAGGAGATAGTGTTCAGTCTCCAACCCACTGCGGCTCAGGCATGCGAGGACAGGGCGCGGAGTCAGTCCGGTCTGTCTGATCCCACCACCTACAGCCCTGAGTCCCAGGGAACGTGAGAAGCCCCTCACATACACGCCTGCAAGAACCACCCCGCCCCCTTCAGTGCTACGAATTACAAACCATTATTGCTCTCACCTTCACAGGGCAGGGAATTGAGCCTCTGAGAGGTTAAGAAGAACACCTGTCCACAGCCACACGCCCAGCCAACGTCTCGTAGAGCTAGAGTTTGAATCCAGGCTTTTTCATGCCTCTGCATGCTTATAACCGTGGTCTGAAGATCTGAAGGGAGGTGCAAAGGGCAGTTTCCACGAGCCACGCTGGGGTCCCCCCACTGGGGGCTGCTCGCTGTCCCAAGGACCAGGCTTCCCAGGTGTGTGATAGACCGTCACCTGCCGAGGAGGTACACCCAAGCCTGAGCACCCCAGGCACATACATTCGTTTATCGGGTGCTGCTGGAACAGGACTTCTTCTTTGGCATCGAACAACATAATGAGCTTCTCTGTTTCCCCCAAACTGAAGGAGCCTGCGTCTATGCACGATCTTCATTTGAAGAAGAAATGAGGACCAACACCTCGCCCTCACCTGCCTGTGGTCTTAGTCATGAAAACCGGTCGGAAGCCCATGCAAAGAGCTGAACGGATTGATAACAAATATTTGTCTTCAGAGGGAACCCGTGTTAGAGTCCCGAAGATTCTTTTTACGGGACAGGTAAAGCCACGACAGGAGCACCTCGTTGCATTATGTCTCGCTTTATGACGCTTTGCAGATACTTGTAGATACTGCCTTTTTTCACAAATCGGAGGTTTGTGGCAATGCCGAGTCGTGCGAGTCTATCGGTGCCATTATTTTTTTTTCCAGCGCCACTTGTTCACTTTGTCGCATTTTGATGAATCTCACAATATTTCAAACTTTTTCATTATTATCATATCCGTTACAGTGATTTGTGACCAGTGATTATGACTCACTGAAAGCTCAGATGATGCTTAAGTATTTTTTAGTATTAAAGCATTTTTTAATTAAGCTACAGACATTGTTTTTTCAGACATAACGCTACTGCACACTTGACAGCCTACAGCATAGTGTAAACACAACTTTCATACACACCGGGAAACCACAACATTCATCTGACCTGCTCTCTTGCAATATTTGCTTTCTTGTTATGGAGTAACCGGGCTGGAACCGACTGCTCGGTGTCTCCGACGTGCGCCTGCAGTAGGGCTCACACGCCTGGCACGCACAGTGTGGGCACTGATCCGCTTGTGATAACATTTTAGAAGTCTTCTCTAAGTGGATCATTTCAAGGTTTTTTTGTGTGAATATAAAAATTCATGGTGAAACAAAATAACGTCCTCCCTTTGAATGCAGGAAAGCGTGGGGTTTTTTTCTCCCCATGCATGTTTAATCTAATTCACTGCCTGTTTGCTTAACAGGAGGACGATCCCGTGGGTCAGTCTCTGGGTGTCAAGTCTGTGGGCGGCTTTCAGGGCGCTGGTCTTTCCTCCACCTGTGCTCTGCTGTGTGTGTCACTAGCCTTATATCTTGATCTCCTTGAGTCTGCTGGCGTCTCCAATGAAATGTCCAGTCCTCAGAGAGAGCCAGGAAGCATTTTCTAACAACCAGACCAAGCTTTTACAGCGCTAAGATTCTTTATAAACTCTTTCAGCATGCACTAATATATACATATATATGTTTAGTATGTGGTAAGGCATGGGAAGTGCGTGTGCTTGAAGCAGGGATACAGACATATATATAATATATATATAATTTTTTAATACCATGCTTTTGTCATTCTATTTCATTTTCCCTAGCATTCAAGTCTCCTAAGTCATTTTAATCTTCTAGGGCTC